TTAACAGAAGGCCCATGTTATGCTTACAAAAACAGCCAGCATTTATGTGGTAACTCAAAACGAAATGAATTCCGTGACAAACCTAATGACGAGAATAATTCAACGTCACACATCAAAACGTGACCTTCAGCAGCCGGAACACGGTCTGATTCAACAATCTGAAATTTTCTTTTAAATAAAATATCTTGCTACCTTATACGAATACGCGGGGACTAAAATTTGCAATCTGGCAGCAAAACGGATGGTGAAAATAACAGAGAGAAACTCTTTAATTTAAAATATCTTTTTTAATTAAAAAATAAATGTGCTTACTTTTATACAATCAGAAGAAGAAAAAAAATTGTTTAAAATTTTCGGAGATGATTTCTGAGCTTAAAAATTCCTTTCTTATTTTTCTCTTCTCTTAGTTAAAATTGATTTATTTAAGTCCGTTTCATTACGAGAGAGCTGTACTACATTTGGAGAGTCAGGAAAAGGAAAATTTTCATATGTATCGCTTTTAATATTCTGCATAATTACGTGGATTTCAGGCATCAGGTGCAAGTTATCAAAAATCCGAAGCTTATTTCGTTTACTGTTAAGTCCATTTAACCAGGAATACAAGTTTGAATATATTGTATTTAAAAATATCAAATCATAAGAGTTATACATTCGTTGGCATTGTTTAGAAACTTCGCTTCACCTTTCCGAGAAACTAAAAAGCGTTTTTCATTGCGACGAATACAACACATTGTTTTTTAATGAATTTAGAAGATATAAATTAAATACGTATTTCGAAATTAGATTTCATTGTTTTTCTCTCAAACGGTGTGCAGTCCTTTTTTTCGTCCCATACTCTCTGCGATGAAAGCTCATTTATTTTTAAATTTGATAAAAGCTTTATTTCTTTCACAATCGAATTCATTTTTAAAATAAAAAAACAAGATTGAAAAGGTCTTAATTTTTCTTAAAGAAAGGCAAATATTTTTTAGAGTTAATATGATTGAAAATGAAAACGTTTACAGTAATCCTTTAAAGAAAAATATAAAATAAACGTTTCTAGAGGAATGCCTGGATAACAAACCTTACATTTCGTAAGAAATAATTCTGATAACAGTCAGAAAATTATAAAAGTCATTTCAGATACTGGGCTTATGATCTGTTTGTAAAAAGCTGAAAAAGAGATTTTTCAGAACTTTTCAAGGGGGTCGCTCTCAGTTAACGTAAATTTTGACTTTTTTTTTTTTTTTTTTTTTTTTTTTTTTTTTTTTTCCGAATTTAACTATTTTACTATTTAAATATTTTATATGCCGATCTGTATGTATGATCGTAATGAAGAATTGTATTCAAGATTTTAGAGATTTGACCGTTTATAAATGTATTTTAGGACATTCTGAGAATGAAAAGTTTCGCAAATGAATTTCTTACACCTTACTATAACAAGCAAATCATCTGCAAAAAGCGATCTCGTGAGTATTCTGGAACATTTTGCAAATTGCAAATAATTGCATATATAATGTAAAAGGAAGCTTATATTGTTGAAATATTTTCCAAAATATTTCCTATATCTTAGCTCGCCTTTTAATTTTCGCGTCGCATATCGATTAGTTTATATTTTCTTCTGACGCATAAACGTCGCTTAGGTATTTCAGCATTTTCATATACGATTAATTAGTAATTAAAATTGTTCATTTTAATGGTTATGATATGTTAATGTAATATTGAAAGCATACTGTTAACGACTGAATCTGCGACAAAGAAATTAGTTACATATTTCATCGAGAAAAATTGTTTGTAACTTTGCATGATTTTTAGACCTTTCTTATTGTTTTTATAAGTTTTATAATTTTTTTTTAATTTGTGTGGTTTTCACTACTATTTTCCAATTTACTTTTCTTTTTGTTTTATGACATATTTATTTACATAACGCTGAATTAAATTTGACAATTTTAGAATTTTCTTAAAATATTTTTGTTTACTTCTTTTATTTTGAAATTCGGCACTTTGTATTTTCATCACTTTTAAATTCTTTATTATTGTTTAGATTAAGGTTCAAATTTGCAAAAGAATGATATGATAGCTATAATTTTTTAAACGACCTTTTCAGAGGTAATTTTTAGAATCATTTTACTATTTTTGAATCAAAATGAAAAATCACCAGATTGAAAAAGAGATTTAAAGAGCTACCACTTAAAAAAAATAATTAACAATTAACACAGCAAACAAAAATGTCAAATATGCAGATGGATATTTATTTATAAACTTAAGAGTAAATAGTTATTGTATGCTGCCATACTGACTTACCCTGGATGAATATAATTTGCCGAGCCTAATTTTACTTCAAATTAAAATTAAGAAGACAAGGGATTAAACTGAATTCATTTATGTACTAAAAATACGACGTTCCAGTACTCATATACATATATATATATAAATGTAATCATATATGTCTCATTTCTTCCTTGTTTTAAACTAGGCTATCTCTGTCGAATTTATTACAACACAGTTTCCCTGTTTTCTACAGTTTTATTGCACTCATATGGGTTGTTCATTTCTGAATTTTACTATTTTTGGTTTAGAAAAGTTTCATAACATACAAAAGATACTTCTCATGCCTGAACGAAACAACATTTCAATGTATTTACTGAAGGCTAGTGTAGGTTATGAGGTAGATTATCTGATGCACTATTGCGTTCGTAATAATACAGACTTTGAATGGTCTACATTTTTTTCTGCCCACAAGTATTTTATTTCCTATTCCTCTTTTTAACTTTTAATATATGTGTTGTTTCCTGGAAAAAATATATTTTCCATTTTTTTAAGTCTGCTATTTTTCCAACTATAGTACTTTATTTCAATCATAAAAATTGCAGCACCAAAATTTTTTTCAAAAAGATTCTTGCTTGTTGTTGTTGCTTATGCTCACTTGTCTAACGTGGTCAGCCGAAGCCCACGAAATTCCTTGTGGCAAGGAGCGCAAGATTACGCCTGTCATTGGCAAAAACCTCGAGCACCTAACAAGTGATAGAGCGATTTGGCTCAGTTCCGTCCCCAATTTTGACGGAGAGCAAACCGGATGGACGGGTCCGAGAGCCTCCCATCCCTCTTCCATTCCACTTAACCACATAAGAGGACTTTCGGCTCGCCTCATATTTAGAGCGCCGCCATGCCGCACCGACACTATACATCTATCCATGCCTTCTCCGGGTTTCGAGTCCGGGCCCTTTGGCACAGCAGTCACTATACAGGTCGGCGGCTGTAACCACTATACGGGTCGGTGACAGATTTTTGCTTAATTTTATAAAATAATTTATGTTATTTTATTCCGCTGTCTACAGTTTTATGCATCAAAAATTGGCTGCGAAATTTTATTCGTATTATTTCTATTAGTTTCACTAAAATGCAATTTAGGATTTTTTATTTTTCAGATTGAAGCAGAGAGTATATTTCGCAGAAGTTTGTAAATTAGAAACGTTGGATTAAAATAAAACGACTATTTAAAATATCACTGAAGAAGCACAAAATTAGAATTTACTTCTCCCTAAATCAATAGCCTGTTTAACAAAATTTAAGTATGTAAGGGTGTCCATAATTAAACTTGAAATTTGCCAGCAGTCTGTAGCAAAAACTATACAGCGAAATGGCATGAAAATTGGGTGATGGCAGAATGAAATGATGGGAATTTTATCGAGGGAAAAAAAGCAATGAGTTTCAAAATCTAACCTAGATGGAGTAACATAGCTTTATTAAGAACGTATAAATAATCTACCAAAGTTCAAAAAACAGGCTCGATATGATGTCAACCACTGTCTGCTACCATCTGGAAGCCTAAAATCGCATGTTCGACTTTTGAAAGCAGCATGAACTGAGGAACGTTATTCACATGGCGTTCTATGCTTTCTTTAATGTCGGATTGATGGGCATGATGGGATCACGGTAGACCATGGCCTTGAGGTATCCTCACAGCCAAAAGTCGCAAGGATTCACGTCAGGGGATCTAGGAGGCCAAGCTGTAGGAAAGTACCGGCTGATGATGTACCGACTTGTTTCACACAATGGGCGATGTGTGGAGGAGCGCCATCCTGCATAAACACTGTGGTTATATCTCATCGCCTTGCCTGAAGAGCCGGAATAACGGATTGCTCTAATAATGAAATGTATCGTTGGTTGACCCGTGACGGTGCATGTCACAGGCCCTGCGGCGCTGCTTTTCGAAAAAAAGGGACTCAAAATGAAGGTTTCAGTAAAGCCACACCAAACCGTTACATGCGAAGAGTGTAATGGAATTTATAGAAATTGATGTGGGTTTGTAGCAGTCCAAATACGGGAATTGTGTGTATAAACCGCACCTTCCATAGGAAAGCGGGACTCGTCAGTCCACAAAATGTTCCATGGCCATTCATCCTGGAGCTCAACTCGCGCAAGAAGTCACAACGCAAAACTTTGTCGACTATCTAGATCAGCTTGGTAAGAGCTGTTGCACAAGCGACAGCTTCATGGGATAGGAGCGTAAGACCTTTTGAAGAATCTTATGAACCGTGGAACGAGGTTGGTCAACAGATCCTGCAATATGCCTAACACTAGTGCTGCCGATGGTTTCCGATCTGTCTTCCTCCACTTGCGTCGCTACATCATCTACTGCCTGTGCTGCAACATGCTTTCGTCCACTTCCTGGCTGAATCTCCAATGTTCCCGTTGTTTCCTGATCATGTTTGCTAGTCCTTGACTAGTGAGTGGACCTTTTCGTAACCTCTTCAAAGAGACCAAAATTTGCGCAAAACTTAGGTAACCAGTGTCCGCAAAACCGCAAAAACCAGTGTCTTCATTTTGGTAAACTAGTGTTTGGGACACTAACCGGCTCCGCCATTAAGATAAGACACTACCGGGCTTGAAATGATTCCGATCGTTTGCGCTAGTAATCAAGGCAGTTAGACCACCTGTTACTGCTTGAGTGGACGTACTGTCCTTTATTATTATATACAATACATTTAACAATACACATTTACATTACAACATCTAGATTAAAGTTTTGAATATAAAGCTGTCAACTGTATCTGTTGTTGACTTATGAAGATTACAATTAGAATAGGATGAATATATACATAGGTCTTGAAGGTCACATGGTTGCTGCTGCGTGTCTGGAGCAGGGTCTGAAGAAGCTGACTCTTTAGGTCCTCGATGATGATGTCGGATCTTGAAATTGACCTCTGTGAATGATCTTGGTGAATGCCTTTGACCAGGTAGAAGTCGTTTACTAGAGAGGACAGTGGGAATGTTCCTGATGTGGTTTGGAAAGTGTCTTGCTTCGGAAGGTCATCTAACAGCTGGCAGTCGAAGATGTAATGAAAAACGTCCGCTTGATGTCCTGGGGTGCCGCAGGCACATTTGGCTTGACGATTCAAGAACCTTCGATAGTAAGCTGGGAATTTACCGTGGTTGGTCAGTGCCTGAGATAGGTGGTGATCAGATCTTAGTCTCTTGTAGCTGACTTTGTCAAAGAATTGGAATGTGTGCCGTCCTTTGTCTTCTTCTTCCCAGCGTTCTTGCCAGACGGTGAGGAGGTAATTGTCTATCAGCTTTTTCGCTGTGATGATAGAAATCGGGATACAGGAGTCTACTTCCGAACAATTTGCTGCATCTTTAGCAAGAGTATCAGCTGTCTCGTTTCCTCTAAGTCCTGCATGGCCGCGGACCCAGTTTATCTTTACTTCGTGCTCGGTATTTAGAGTGTGTAGAACTTCCTTTAGGGAGGCTATGTGCTCCGCTACTTTGCCTCTTTTGTTTAGTGCCTGGAGAGCGCTCATGCTGTCCGTATAGAATTTAACATGGTGACTCGAGGGCTGATTTCCTGCCCATAGTGCCGCTTGTCGCAAAGCATAAGACTCGGCCTGAAATACTGTAGCTGTGTCTGGGAGTCTGTAGCACTCTGTATGGATGATCCTATTGTCGAGGAAGGCAACGAAGGCCGCTCCTATTTGGTTGTTGATGCCTGAGCCATCTGTGAAAATTTCTAAGTGTGAGCCGTCCTGTTGCTCTTTTCGCCAGATTATATTTCTGATTTCTGCTGGATGCTTCGTGGCGTCATGCCTATATCTTTCTATTGTCTGATAGTGTACTATGGTGGTGCCTTCCATTGACGCATCTTCCTGGTAATGTTGGAGTCGGTATTGGAGCTTTTCTTTCTGGGCTATGAGATCTAAGGGCAGGACTCCTGCCAAGACTTGTAGTGCCGCTGTCGAGGTCGTGGTAAATGCCGCTGTTATTTTAAGCAGGGCAATACGTTGGATCTGTGCCAGCTTGGTCTGGACACGGACTGTGTTAGTCATCCAGACTGGGCTTCCATATAGAATCATGCGTTCTACTGCTCGTAGATATAGATCTTTTAGCAGACTTCCTTTGAGTTGCCATTTCGCACTCATCATTCTATTCAGGCTATTCATAATTTTGTTCGTATTGTCTCTTACTGCTGTTAGGTGGGGGACCCACGTAAGTTTCTTATCTAGGACAAAGCCTAGATACTTCATCGTGTCTTGTCGTCGTAAGGGGACTTCATTCCATTTGATCCGTGGTGGGTTAGAGTCAATCTTTGAACCCTTAGGAAATACAATCCTTTGGGTTTTGGGGATGCTGAACTTTAATTTGTATTTTTCGCTCCAGTTGGCTATTTTGGTTAGGGCCAAGGCTGCATTTCTTTCTGTTATTGTTCTATTGCTTCTTGCGATGATTAGTATAAAATCATCAGCCTAGGCTTGGATGCTTGCGGTGCCCTCAAAGTCTATTTAAAGGGCGGTATCTGCCATAATATTCCAGAGGACCGGGCCTATGTTTGACCCTTGCGGTGCTCCTTTCTGGTAGCTCATTCTTATGTTGACCCCATCTCTGATGTAGGTGACGTGCCTATTTGATAGGTAGTTGTCTATAATTCGATAAAGATTTTGTGGGCATCTTAGTCTTTTAGCCTGGTCTTCAACCTCGGCCACCATAGCTGGTTGAATGCCGAAGCAACATCCAGCGAGATGACGCAGGTGTGAAGGTTGTTCTCTCTATTTCTGAGTATTGTCTTCTGCAGTTGGTCGACCGCGTCCACCGTGCTTCTGCCTTGTCTGAACCCGAATTGATTTTCATTTAGGAGTTTGTTGTGCTCAAGATGGTAAGTGAGCCGTTGAGTAATAAGCTTGTCTAGCACTTTGCCCCAGGCAGAGAGTAGACATATCGGCCTGTAGGCATTAGTTTTATTCTTGTCCTTCCCTTCTTTGGGGAAGAGCACGAGTTCCGCGTTCTTCCATTCATTCGGGAAGTAGCCCCTGCGAAGGCAGTTATTTAAGAGATCTTGGAAGCCTACTTCATTTGCTAGGCGTAGTTCTTCTACTGCACCTATAGTTAGATTATCTAGATCCTGGGGCTTTCTTTTTCTTGACCGCCGCCATAGTGGCTCTGATTTCGGCTATCGAGAAAGGGAGGTCATCTTTTGTATCTGGCGGGATTGTGGAATCCTGCCTTATCGCTTTGTGAATCTCGTTGTCTTCTGTGATATCATCTTGCGGGAAGTGATAGGAAATTATTTCCGTGATTGCTTCTTCAAGGGTAGTCGTAAAGGAGCCATCTTCTCGTTTTAGTCTGCTTATTTTGAGGGGACCTGCCTTTAGCAATTTCGAAGAATGTGCCAAACGGCGTGTTCATCGTTATTTGTTCCCAGAAATCGTCCCAGTATTGTCTCTTTGTGCGGTAAATTAGTTTTTTGTACCGCGCCGCGTATATTTTATATTTCTGTCTATAATAAGCTCTGTCTTCGCTAGGCGCTCTAAGGAAACGTTTTCTTAGTGCTCTGACTAGTTTTCTTAAATGGTGAATGTCTTCCGTCCACCATGGGGTGTATCTTTCCCTTAAGGGGCCTGTACCCTTGCTCTTTCTTGTTTGGTCATATGTGTCTTGCAACAATTTGGTGGCTTGAGCGATATGCCTGTCTATGTCTGCATTACATGTTATCTTATATGGGTCATAACTTCGGAAAATCTTTTGCCTGAATTCTAGCCAGTCTGTGCGCTCTACGTGTATTCTTAGGCTCTTTTTGATATCCTGAGGACCGATACATACCTCAAAGAGGATATTGTTGTGGTCGCTTCCGTTCTCACTGTCGTCTATTCTCCAGTTGGAGATTTGGAAATTTTCATATCTTTGCTTATGCAAGGTGAGGTCAACCCAGGAGTTGCCTCTCGCCCCTGCGAATGTTGGAATGGTCTTATCATCATTTATTACTATGCATCCCGTGGCTGCGAGAAATTCGCAAACCTTTATGCCTCGGGGATCTGCGTGAGAGGGGCTCCATATGGGATGCTTTTCATTAAAGTCCCCACATATGATTGCTGTCAAGTCGTTCTCCATAATTAGTTTTTGGAGTGTGGTGAGGAGTCCATCCAGTTCTTGGGAAGGTGGACCATAGGCTGAAACTATCAGAAACGGATTTGTGGTTTCTATCCGTAAAGCTACCGCTAATGGGTCGCTATATATCTGACATAATGGTAGTTTGGTATGTGTCACTATAATTGCTGTTTTTGCGTTCTTTGCGCTATGATACTTTCTGTAAACTGAGGGGAGACCGTACATTTTATCTTTGACTAAGTACGGCTCCTGTACACATGCTATTTTTAATCTCGTATTATCCGCTAATTTTATCTTAAGATTCTCTGTAGCACTCCGAGAGTGCTGTAAGTTAATTTGTATTAAGTCACAGTCCATAGTTTGTTCGGCTTATTTGTCTGTTCAGTTCTCTTATATAGCATGGGCACTTTGAACTTCGAGCGTCATGAGTGGGACTATAACCCGCATTAAATTTCTTGTTTGCTAGTAGACAGTTAACACATTGTCTTTCTTTTTGACTGCATTCTTTATTTCGTGTTCTTGTTCTCCGCAGCCTGCGCAGACTCTCTGGCTTGTGCAGTTTTTAGCGCTGTGATTAAAGCCCAGGCACTTTGTGCAACGGGAAACTTTAAGATATTCTTTTACACTATGGCGAGACCATTTTATGTTCAGTTTTGGGTTGTTTTGCAGCCTATTGAATGTGGCCGGGTCAACAGAGAGAACCCAGTGTTGGCCGTGTTTTGCATTTATTGAGAATAGTGCTTCTATTTCTGCCTCATCGAAACCATCATTTTGTTTCTTTATAAGTTTGACTATGGTATTTTTCTCTATGCCTTTATGTACATTATAGACTATGACTCGCGGGTTTCGCTTAGTCGGTAGTCTTGTTTCCATCATGTTTTCCATCTCTTTTATGGCTTCATCTAGAATGACGAGATCGTATTGTTTCGCGACTTCTATTAATATTCCTCCTTTTCCTATATTTTAACTTTTTTAACTCCTATCTTTAATTTTGTAGGGTTAATAGAGTTCACTAATTTAGTTTTTAGCTCCTCTGATGTACACTCCGTTTCTTGTTTGGGATACACTAATAGGACGTGTTCTTGTGCGTCGTCTCTTTTTCTGGATATAGGTCGTCTGGACACTGGTCTGTTTCTTTTTGCCGATCTGGATCTGGACCTGACTGCGTCCGCGAAGGTCTTTTTCTCGGATGCGACGAGTCCCTGGACGTAATCCTCAAGATGTTGTGTCTGCTCGACTTGGCCTTCTAGCTGTGCTATCCTCAAGTTCTGTTTTGTAACTAAGTTGAGAAGCCCTAAGAACTCATCTCTGATTTTATGTGCAATCTTTTTGGAGACTGGCTCTTTAGCCAAAAGTCCCTCTAGGTTGATTAGGCAGTTATGCGCCTCTTTCATCGTGGAGAGTTTCGTAGAATCTTCCGATACTGTATCTTCATGACCTGACTGTGAATCTGACCTAACTGTTTGTGGAGTTACTACTGACGGCAATCCGCTGTCAGGACCTTCTGGTCTGCTTAACTGCGTGTTTAGATCCTTATCCGACTGCACTTCGCTGTCGGGACCTTCCGGTCTGTTTGAATGATTCTCAGAGGGCCCTCCGGCTTCTCTTTTGGAATCTTTGGATCTCGTTTTTCCCGTCATCGTACCTTGTACTTGTACTTCGTACGAGGGGTGTAGGGATTGTGACCTAGCTCTAAGGGACTACCACATGAACCGTTAATGGGCCCAACTTATGTGGCTGTTCACAGAACCGGTACCCCTGGAGTTCTCACCGGAACTGCTACTCAGCGGGTGGAGTTTGCTTTAGACCATCTTGCGAGGGGCCCCAGACCACGACAAGGTCCACTCCACACGGGATGCGACCAGCACTGACCGCTAGTTGACCACGTTTAAACTCAGATAATCCTGGACGGCACCGGTTTTTTTCTGAGATGGGCCAACTAAATCGCTCTGAATTTCACAAGGCTCTCGCGCATGCAAAAAACAAACGACTACTGGTATGAATTGCTTCTCCCTGGGGGTTCATTTTGGTAAAGCAATTTCACCAGTAAAGCACGTTCCTGGAGAGTCAACGTTATCTTCCTTGAGTTGGAAACGCGTATGACTAGGGTTCGTCTCTCGCATCTGTATAGAGTTGCTGTGCGCGCGTAGAATTACTATGTTTACGACATTTGCATAGGCCAATAGTTTATATTGCACAACAAAAAAAATGGGACAGTTCTGTGTCTCCGTTCTACTGGACCGACAGAAAAAAAATTAACTTGCATATTTCATGTCTCGAAAGCGCGCCTTAGGATGCATATTAGATTTATACATAGTATTGTTCTAACATAGGTATTTTGACGCAAAATCGGACTTTTCTAAACATACCCATTATTAATAACAACATACCCATTATTACATATTTCGATTCTAAGACTCAAATCATGCCTAAATATCACGTTTTATAAAAGTTGCACGAGTAGGTTTTAAACATTTAACTCTCGAAATTTCAGCTTCTCAATGTTAATTCAGTTTGATATATATTTATAAATATCTCTTTCATTGTTACACACCTACTTGATTCCTTCTTTCAGAATTCGCACTTTAAGTTAAATCCAAAAGTATTTGCAGATATTTTCTGATTTATTTTTTTAAATTGTATTTTAGTAACTTTTATAAATTTTTCGAAAACATTTTTAACTATAACCTTTACCATTTTTATCATGACCTTAGATGTAGATGTAGTAGATGTTTTTCTAGGCATGCCTGCAAAAAATTCGAGTTTTCTTATTAAAAATAATTTCCAGAGATACACGTGAATTTGTGCATTGACACGTTTTGAAATTTGGCGTATTTGTTGAAAGCGATAATGTTTTGTCCAAAAATAATAAATGATAATGTTTTGTCCAATAAAGTGTCCAAATGTGGTTTGGACACTTTGTTAAATTTATTTGAAAGAATGAACGATGAGCCTTTTTTTTTCCTCTCTTGTACAAATATAAAAGGCGAAGGAAAATATATTAATATTAATTAAGAATACCGCACAGTGAATTATTCTTTGCGAAAATTGAAAAAAGTGCGCCAAGATAAAGTTTTAAATTTCTCGCCAAGTTCCTTATCGAATTTTACAAAATGTAATAATTGAGAATAATTTGATCCATAAAATCGAAATATGGAAAAACAATTGGTCTGTTATTTCATACAAAGTCCTATTTTCTGTTAAAATACGTATGTGAAAAGAGTAATATATATAAATCTAATACATATCCTATGTCGCTCTTTCGAGACATGAAAAGTGCTAGTTAAATTTCGTCAATTGGCCCAGTAAAACGGGATATATAGAACTGCGCCCCCTTTTCTGTGCAAGGTATACATGCATTAACAATGCATAACTATTAAAATGATTCAATTAGAATTAAAATAATTATATACCCAGTATTCATTTCACGCTTTTGTGCCATGCATTAGTCAAAATCTTCATAATGTGTTTTAAGGAAGTATTTCATCTTCATTGAAAAAATTGATACAGAACAGAATATTTAAAATTTTACAGATGTCATTCTAGGTAACATTATGAGAAGTGCTTCTTGGAAATATGTTTAAAAATGTTCTGTTGTTCTTCGCTTACATTGTACATAAAAATAACCTGAAAACTCCCAACTCTGTTGCTGCATAAACGATAAAGAAAGACCCTCTAGGAAAATTATATCAAGATTATGATTAGACAGTTTTCCTATTCTTTCTTATAATTTTTATTTCTTTATTTTCATAAATTTTAGAGATAGAGACCTTTGGAATCAGGTAGATCATTTTGAATTATGATTACTTGCTACAGGTTTGGTTCTCCAAGCAAGAGAAAATAACATTTTTAATAATATTGTAAATTCCTTCTTCTGCAGAATAAATGCTCTAGTTGATAAATTCGTTTTATGTGAATTAACATAACCAAATATCTATTCTATTTCTTAATCTTTTCGCTGCGATGTTTCAAAGGTTTCGAATGAGTATGTACATATGCTGGTGTCTTTAGAGTAGTCAGTATCTCAAGGGTTAACTGCTTGAAATAAAAATAATCTTAGACACGTGCGAGATAATAACATGATACTGAGAAAATATTTTGTAAGGTTTTGTAAGAATTGGGAGAAAGTGAAAGAAGGACGTTAAATCAATTAAAACAACTGGAAAACAATCATCATTTCTCATGTTCTTGAAATACTTAATGCTTAAAATAATTCTGTAAAATATATTAGAAATATTCTTGATGATTTTACTAGATAAATATTATAAGGTAGTTTACTAGAGCAACCGAAAAGTTTTGAAAATTAAACTATCGCAGCACATGCTTATCCAGATAAAAAGAATATATATATATATATATATATATATATATTTTTTAATTTAGAACAAGTACAATCGCCTCGTGCACCACAGATATACAACATGGAGCTTACAAAAGTAAGTTAAATAAAGTATTGAATACTGCATGCATAAATTAAATGACCAACAACAGAGAACAGCAGTCTGGACTTCACGAAAACATATTAGTTCACTGGCCAAGTCACGCCGAACATTTTCAAATCGTTCTGCAAGCATAATCTAGGGCCATAAAAGGTAGAGCATGAAAACATCAGCTGTTCCACATCTTGAGGTACGTTTTTGAACATTCAATGTGATCTTATAGATCTTGTAGATTGAAACGAAACAGGAAACCTGTAAATTTACGTGACCAGATAAAAACTGAGATACTTTAAAATCAATATAAAAGAAAGACTCGGGATGCAGTCTATGGTAAATATTTTAAAACATCTAGCATAAAAAATATGTTTAAGAGTATATTATTTATGTTTCTTAACATTTTGGGAAATTTATCTGATAATAAAAATACTGGTGGGAGAAATTTTGCACATACTGTCTTATCTACTGTTCTATTTTGAATAATGAATAAATATATATATGATGAATATATATTATGAATATATATAATGAATATATATTTTGAATATATATTATGAATATATATAATGAATATATATTTTGAATAAATTTTAATTACTATTTTAGTCGTGGTTTTGAAATTCAAATTACATGAAAATTAAGTAAATGAACCAAAATTATTTTTAAGTTGGATATTTCTGGGCGCATAAACTATGTTTTGCAATTCTCTTGCACGTACAAGTGACGAAGCTTATCCAAACTTGAACTTCAATTTTCCTGAGTCAGAATAAACAGCCCATAATTATCAAAGGGTTATTTCTTTATGTCCATGGCACAAAATAACACAAGCGTGAACTTATTTTGTTCAGCATTATTGTTGGTAAACTAGACCACATTTTCTCCAAACGAACAATGCTCTCTGGAATTACGCCGTTAGTGAAC